GGGGCCTAGGCCAAACTTCTATGTATTTAGGCCTAGTGTAGGCCTATAGTGTATACATCCTAGCTCCTTACCTTTAGTATCATGTTAAATTTAAATATAACACCAGGCGGCGGCAGCCGAGGTGTCGGGGGGGGGAGGGGGAAGGTGCTGTAGACCCCCATGGGACATGTCAAGCCCTCCGACGACCAGAGTTTGTTGAGCAGTCGGACCAACAAAAAAAAAGTAGGCCTAATGAAATGAAATGAGTGTTTATTGAGCTGAGTTTATAGATCTTAATTGTACTTTATCAAATACTTAAGAGCATTTTTCCAGTCTGAGAGAGCGCCATTTCTGGATGTCCAGAGGTGGTCCTATTTGAAAAAAAAAATCTCATTAGGATACCCCCTCCCTAACCATCCACCCGGCTTGGTCTGAAGTCCCTCAGATGGCAATGCGTGCCACAGTTATCCTTATCTCACACAGTCCCTCCCCAAAAAATACATCCTACTACAGCCACTGTATAACACTTTAGTCCTATCTAAACTAATTTTTGTTGACTCTATCATGAACTATAAGCTTACCAGAAAATTTTGTATAACAATATTTATAGCATACCACTAATTTTTTGGGGGATATAGTTTTTTTTCTACAAGGCAGTCATGAAAGAAAAAAAGGAGTATATACTGTCCTTAACAAATTAGGAAAAATTCTGAAAAGAAAGTGCTCATTTGAATCATAATCAAATTTTGATTTACATGTGTCATTAATGTCTGCAAAAACAAATTTATTTTTGCAACCTTTCTTATTGACAGTTCTTAACTTTTGTGATCATTATAAATAAGCAATTCAAATTAAAAGTACAACTATTTGTGAGGAACAGTACATTTTTAATTAAAATAACTAAATCAAAATCAGAGTAAGCATACAAACAACAATTTTGACATTGTACAACAGATTCTTGTATTTATTAACAATTTCACATTTATATACAAATTGTTCTCGTGTTAAACCAGATATTATTTGAAACTTACCGACGTTAGCTATGTGGAATTCAAATTTGGAAATATTATTTTAATATTAATATTTTGACCACTAATTAATAATGTTCACAAGGTTTAACTAACCATATATAAATAATGTAATTAAAATATTATAATCCATATATTATTATTCAAGCCAATGGTTCTGGTGGTGGAATAAGTCTTCTCGGATAAGGACTTTAAAGCGTAGGCCCGACGTACAAATTCGGCTCGTGTGCGCTCTAAAGAACTCAGTACATCCTCAGAGAAGAGTAGGGGTTACCCCGGTGTACTGCTTCATTCAAGAAATGAAATGAAATATTACTAATTTTTGACTTGGACTTGTTTGTTCTTTGGGAAGTCTGTGCAGAGTTTGTTTTATAGACTCAAAAAAACTGGCCAATGGATCTTTTTCCTTCTTTGCTGTCAAATACTTCATTATTTTAGAATTTACATATTTGGTTTTCACCATTTTACTTTTAGTGGTATACTTTGGGGAATTTTCTATTTTGTGGGGTTCCCTCTACTTTATCAGCAACTGTTTCACCTTCCACTACTGCGACTTCAATGTTATGCAGTAGGTGTTCGCATTGTTTCATCATCTATCGATAAGTTGTTTGTATGCCTATAAAGGTTTTATAAATTATTATTAGTTCTCAAAAAAATAATTCATTGTTTCTCTTTCAGTTTTTCACTGAGTTGGAGTCTGTTTGAATTTTTTTTAATTGCTAAAATATTGTACTGCTCTTGAATTTGAATTTTATTACTAGTCAGTATAATTTGTTCAGCAAACTATAAACTGGCTAAACAATGATAAATAAATAATAAAATTATTAATTTTATCAATTATTGTTATTTGTATAAATAATTTGGGTATGTAATTTATAATTTGCATTGTTCATCCACTGTTTCAATAACTACAATTTGTTATTAAGTATTAAGCTACACTATTTATAATTTTTATGATGATACATTGCGAATAGACTCTGCCAAAACATGTTCCTTTCATAGAGCCTAGTAATGACCAGGCCAAATTAAATCTCAGGCTACGCCTGATATAAGCATTATATATTTCCCTCCACACATCATTTTTTCCCGGCTGGTATCCTTGTTATAGTGTTTATCTGCCAGGTTAGTTTATCACCCTATCAAATCAAAGTATCAAAGAAAAGACCAGGGAGTTGTTACTATAACAACTCCTTGAAAAGACTGATGAGGGAGGGTTTTGCTTTTTTTTTGCGAACTGCCCCCAATTTACCGATGTTCACAAGTAAATCAATGGGACACATATAAAAAGTCATAATGCAATCAAATTTATATTTAAAAAAAAGTATGTTGTTGTTGTACCAGTAAACATATTTGCAAGAAATCCTAAGCTTTTCAAGGAAAAAAAGATGGAAAAACAACCATTTGAAATAAAAATATATGTTGATTAAATATGTTGATTAAAAAAAGACTGTGCATGCGTGTTCTGGCCCCACAGACTATAGGCCCTCACCTCACCCCCTACTATCACTAGGAATCGAGTCTAGGCTAGTGCCGTGGGGTCGGTCGTCTGTCTGCAGAAAATGCGCAACTTGGCTAGCAAATGCTGCTGTCTTGTTTTTTTACTAGCTAAGGTAGTCTAGGGCCCCTAGGCTGGGCAAGATAAACACTCTCTATAGGCTAGGCCTACATGGCCTAGGCTAGTAGGGAGCTGAGAAGTTCATTTAACTTTATTTTTAAGAAAACTAGAAATATACTTATCTTTTTTAGTGAATATGTTGTTTGATTGGCCAGAAATAAAATCTGTTTGGATTCACGTTTCCGATGGCTTTCTGATCCATTGCTCTGAATCCGGAGTCCGGGAAAAAAAATCGGACTGTGTAGATGTGAACGCTTCTATTCTTTACCACTAAAGCCATTTCTCATGATTTTTTCTCTGGACTGGAATCCAGGCTTGATGTGAATGTAGCTTTAATGTAATAAAGGTTCTAAGTGTAATGATTTTTGTGTCTAAATGTAATAAAGGTCCTACTGTATGTGTAAAAAGTTTTGGGTCCAAAATTATTAAAGGGTCTAAATGTATTAAAGGGTCTAAGTGTAATAATTCTTGGGTCTAAATGTAATAAATGTCCTATGTGTAATAATTCTTGGGTCTAAATGTAATAAAGGTTCTAAGAATTTTTGGGTCTAAATGTAATAAAGGTCCTAAATGCAATGTCCTAAATGCAGTGTAATAATGGCCATGATTGACAAATGATTGATTGATTGTAATAATTTTTGGGTCTAATTATATAATACAGTTCCTATGTGTAATAATTTTAGGGTCTAAACGAGGGGGCTGAAGCCGTGACGAGGGGTCAGATTTCCCAGACGAAAGCAAAGTGGGCGTGGTCGAGCTTTGATTAAAAGGTTTCGAAAGCAGTCCTGGGGCTTCGAATATTTTGACAATTTAGGGGTTTCAAAGGCTTATTTAATCGATTTTATAGTCTACTAATATGTAGAAAATACATATAATTTTTTTTCTCCCTGACGAAGTGTGCTTTTTTCCCCCCGACCGGGAGGCCAGCTCTCACCATGGCGCCACCCTTGGGCAGATCCCTGATCAAATTTTTGGATCCACTACTGTATTTTGAAAATGTAGTGTGGAAATAAATTTTAATTGCATTCCTTAACATTAATTTAGTACAACTTATAAAAGGCTACAGATGCCAGAGCTTCCGGGGGCTCCCAGTCAAGTCTTGGGCCTTACTTTGCAGTCCCCCACCCCCACTGTTTACAACGGATCGACGCCCTTGATTACCGTCAACAACGCTTGTTGAAGATTGTTGAGGGCTGTGACAGTTGTTGACTAAGCGCATCGGTCACAGAGAAACAATTTCTGATGGGAATTCGATGTGAATGCAGCTTCAATATGTAATAGCTGTTGTCCCTATATGTAATATGTCATTATTAATATTGTACTGTACCAAAACAACGATCAATACAGATAAAAATACAAATAACAATTTATGAAAAGGCATCGCTTTAACAAAATGAAAAAAAAAAAAAAAAACCTGGCAATGAATAGAGCTGTCCTAAAAAAAAAAAAAAAACCTGGCAACGAACAGAGCTGTCCTTAAAATTGGATAACAACCTGGCAATTAATTATTTATAAACAAACATCGCGAGTCGCTACCGTCATGAATCGCTGGTAAAGAACGTTGTTTTTAGTAATAAAATCTAAAAACTGGTGTGTGTAATTAGTGAGAGAACTGGATTAAAAAGAATCGTACGATATTATGACAGTAGGTAAAAAGACAATTTTTTAAGATAGAGAAGTGTTACAGTACTAAAGTGCATTAGAGCCCAAACCTTATTTGTCTTTATTGTAGGGTATTATTATCATTTTCAAAAAATTGTTTATCTAAAAAACAACCAAATTATAGGCTGAAAGGTAAGTGTACCTTTGCATACTACCGATGTCTGTGACACAGTACATGTGTTGATGTTGGTGGCGCACTTCACACAGCTTGTTCCCTGCACTCAAGATGAATAAAAACGATCATTTTCAATCAATTATTGGCATTTTTTAGTTCATTTTCGGCATTTTTTAGTTCATTTTCATCATTTAAAAATAAAAAAATTTTAAAAAGTGGGGTGGCTAGAAAATCAAGGGCGGGCGGTGACGCTTAACAAGTATATTTTTTTATTTGGCCTTAGTAGAAAGACATGTTGTTATTAGAAAGATAACAAAACAGAAATAATAAAAAAAAAATACGTAGGCCTAGGATAAACCGATTGATGACCTTATTATAATGATATGATATATGGCATAAGCATATTAAATTTTGCGTTTCGCAACTCCTTTGGCGCTCCATAGCCTAGGCCCTGGGCTATATTTGTTCATAATAAACCGCGACCGAAGTGAGGCGAGACCGAAATTATCGGCTACCTACTACCAGGCCTACTACTACTACTACTACTACTAGGCCTATGGAATTGTACTAGCCTAGCCTAGTAATAGTATAAACAACTTACACATTATTAAAGCGAAATAAATCATCACATGTAAAAGGGCGAACTGTCGTCATTGTGGAAACCTATCTGGTAGAGACTGCTTATAATTAAAAAGTAAAGATATAAAATATACTAAGATTAAGGATGCCGTCGATAAAAACTCACAACTTGTTTTTTTCTCTCCTCTAGCGAGCATCGGCTTTAGCAAAGATACTAGAAATACAAGATAGAGTTCTCCACACAAAAAAAGTGTTCCACCGTGTTTCACCGAAATGCATGGTGGGAATACGAAAAATGGGACGCCCCCTACAGCTGGATCTAAAAAAACTTCT